AACAGGGCTGTAGATCTTTAGGGTACAATAGGTAGGACTATATAGAGTGCAGCCCAGTTGATAGTCTGGCCTGAGAACAATAGGGGCTAGTGGTGTCAGACAATGGCCCAAAGTAAGGTGCAGGGAAAGAATGAAGGTAGTCATTTACCAAAGAAAAAAAACAAGTTCTTGATCCGCCCCCAATGCATGAAAACTCGTAAACACCTGGGGGCAGGAGGTTTCCAGCAGTATGTCTTTCACCAATAAAAAAAAAAAACCCTGCGCATTGTATTTTTAGTTTTTTGAGTCCTCTGCGGGTCAAGACGATGTTCCCAGCCCTCCTCCTTTACGATTCGGACTGCGCACCCGAGTAGGAAGGAGAAAAAAAACATCTTCTCACGCGCTTTTGACCGCTGGTCGACCTTTCAATAGATGCGGGTGTATAGAGGGGGGTGAGGACTATTGTTGATGTCCGAAGCAGTCCATCTACTTCGCTTAATCAAGAGACAATACATCTCCACCCCCCCCCCCCCCCCCTCGAGTACAAGTATGAACTCCTGGAGAGAAGTCTATCTTAAACTTGTCTTTTCTTTCCGTTCTTCTCTTTCCCTTTCAACGCCAAGACGAAGGCGACAATGAAAGATGTTCTTTAAGAAAAGTAATTGAGAGCCTGACTACAGTTCTACATGTTTCCGGGACTCGCCGTAGACATACTGAGCAGACAGGTGGCTGGGGTCACAATAGGTTTTAAGAAAAGAATTGGGTTCAAAAGTTGTTCAGAACTACTTACATCTTCTCCCTCCAAATGTCTGAAGACATTCGAGTAGTGTGGTCACGTGACTTGCAACTACTAGTGTCCACTATCTATTGGTATAGACATTCTAGTCAAACATTCTATGAACATGTCCGTTCTTAGCGCCTAGTATGTACTTATGTTTACCTATATCACGCTAACCTTTCTGTGTAACTAAATCCCTTAGAGACCTCGAGCTCCACGATCAAGTTTAAATAAAATGATTCTTCTTAATGGACAAAAGTGCACGAGGGTATACTATGGCCAACACAACTACTAAACGCTTTTACAATGACGCTGAGCAGATTTAGAGTTTTTAAGAAATATCAAATCCCAGTCTTTCTTGATTCAGATTTAAGACCTAATGGTTTGTTTTTTTCGCTTTATTTTCTAAATGACCCATAGTCTTGACCCTTCTAATTCTAAAAAATGTCACAACATAATTCCCACACAATGTCACTTGTAACAGGCAAAAAAAAAAAAAGTTGCTCAAAAACAGCTGAAACCCAAAAAAAAAAAAAAAAAAAAAAACGCAACTGTTAGTGAGTCATTGCCAACAATGGGGTCACCCATCATTTCTTTTCTTTTTTTTTTCATCAGGGTTGCCCAAAGCGTACCATTGTTCCCATTCTGTTGGTTATGCGGTTCAGTCGTGGTAGCAGCGCAGAAAGCCATCTGCTGGCAAGTTATCACTTTTGGTCTCCTCGAGTGCCCTCCCTCCACCCCCCACTGACACCTTGTCTTTCTCAAACTGATGTAACGGGCAGCTAATACAATGTAAGGGGCCGAAAAGATGATGTGGAGGGGAAACAGAACGAAAGAAAGGGCACTCACTCGAGAAGATAGTGCATCATTTCCAAGGAGTGCAAACTTCAGGGCAGTAGCGGTGATTGAGTCTCTAAAAGGTGGCTAAGTGTTGTATAGGCACTTTTCTTTAACTGTCCCGTAGTTAACGAAATGTTTTGAATATGCTGTGCGTAAATTGATTTTTTTTTTTAAATACGGTACCCTTAAACTTACATGCTATTGCTGTCATCTCATAAACGTTTTACATCAAAGTTTTTAAAGACATCTCTTACAGAATGGCTTTTGCGGCATAGAGTTAACTCAAAAATGAAAAGAGGCGATCATAAAACATAATCGCATGTGTTGGCGCGCGCTAGAATTATTTGTGCCTCTGCATGGCGCACCTATGTGAGAGATTATTGTTTGGTTAATGCATTCAATCACTGCCTGTCATACGATATGATCTTTTTGTTCAGTGTATGCGGTATGTGCCTCCGAGACTTAAGTCTATATGTAGCTAATACTTCAGCGCAAGACTGGCACGCGAGTATTATAGTAAGTGCGTGTGTGTGTGTGGTGGGGGTTGTGAAGAGAGGTCTCTTACTATACTAACCTCATAACTACACGCTGACCACACAAATTTGAATAAGACTTATAGTACTTCGTCAAACATCTACCGTTGAGTGTGGCTTCTTTCGTGCAACTTAAAATGTGTAGGCAAGTTTTGATCAAGATCAAATCGTATGACCAATATAAAAATATTTGCTATGCCTGGAGGAATAGGATGTGCTGAGTGGGGGGGGGGGGGGGGGGAGAGAAGTTGTGAACGGGTTGACAAAAACAGGTCTGAGGCTCTAATATATGCCACTAGGGGGAGTTCTTTCCCTCTCTCAAAGTTTGAATCTAAAAATACGTTAACCTTCTAGTTGGCGGTAATGTCCCCTGATAAACAGACAAAGGGGCCTAGTGTTTGATAAAACCACGTGTTAGAGGAGAAATATCTTCAATATGGCTCCTACAGCAATATCGAGAACTAGGCCAAAATACGGAGTAATTTGAACTTTTTTTTTTTATTAAAGACTTTATCGAACTGCCGACACTTATACCGGGGCCTCTTACCAGCTAACTACACGACCTTTGTTGTCTGGCGTCTCTAAAAAAAAAAAAAGGTGAATGGCGGCTAGCTCTTGTGAAGTTATTCATACTTACAGCCGTAAATATACAATAAAAGCCTCTACAATACTATGGGATACTACACTTCTATGTATAGACATTGGGACATACACCAGAAAAACATTCCTTATTTGGTGTCTCTATATTCTGTTAAAAAAAAAAGTGTGCCGTTTGCATTAAACTAAAAAGCTGGCACGAAATGCTAATAGAGTTTGTATTCCTAACCATTGTTTTTTTTTTTTCCCCTTCTGTTATAGGTTGCGATCCCAGCATTCTCCAAGTTGAAGGCTCACTACATGGGCTACGCCCACCACGGCGGAGACTACCATCACTACCAGCTGATCAAGGCCGTCGGAGTGGACTCGAACCTGTTGCTGCAGGACGACACCAGCGCTTTGAGGCTGTCAGCCACTCTCAACAAAATTGGTGGCGCTCATTCGCTAGGCAAAGAACCGATACGCCTGTCCAAGTTTGGGCACGACAGCGTGCCGGGCAACAACGAACTTCAGTACATATACCACCCGATTGCCTACGGACCTTACCTTGCGGACAAGTATGGTTACCCAACCGTCACCAAATTACACGAGATGAACCCACTGGATACTAAAAAGGTAAGTTTTTTTTTTTATACATTTATCTAGTACATTAAATTACATATACAAATAAGAGGAAAGGATTCTATTTGATCAAATACATTTGTGTGGACTATCTATACAAGTAACATCCAGAATAAAAATTACATTTTTCTTTGGTTCTATTATTGCAGAATTTTTGGGGCAAACAGGGCATCCTTCGAGTCATAACGTATACAGACAACCAGAACTTGCCCAAAGGCCACGTAGCTCTGTGGGACTGCAATCACTTCCATCAAGCCCCTGACTGGATCGCCAAACACAATCTGGTCACTGTTGAGTTCTGGGAATCTCCAGGTAAGACTTCCTTAAGTAAAAATGTCTTACACATTAGATTTGTGAAAAATATCAATGGAAGTTCTAGACAGCATGTAACCATGTGTTTTATTCCTTAATCTTCCTCAGATTCCCTCTGCAATAACATGCCGCCTATGCCACAATTGCCTGCGGATTATCCCAAACCTGAAGATATCCTGCCACCCAACAGAAGGGCGGGAAAACGAAGGCATCACCGCCACAGGCACTGGGAAGAGATCTTTGTGGAGAACTTCATCAAAAAACTGATGAAGAAAAGTAGCTGAACATCAGCGTCTGCACAGCTGACACAGAAAGTTGCACACAACTTTTACCCCCTTCATAGACACCCCAAAAAGTTTTAACACAAAGAATATTTATGTTCAAATGAAAGGACGTTAGAAACTTACAACAGACAACTGCTTACATTGAATCTTCTAGAAAATGTCAGATCCAACTTTAACTGATACTGACATAGAAAGTAGATCTAATTGTCAACGCAGTAACACGACAGCATCAGGTTTGAACTTTTATGACATTCCTGGCTGTGGATCCAATCAAAATGTGTTGTTTATTCCCACTGCCAAATTCTTTTTCTGCCTACAATGTTGCAATGTTGATGTTTGTTAATTAATGGAAAGACATTGCATTTATATTTGTTCACTTGTCTCTCGATGCTTGGACTCAATTACTATGTAGCAAGTAGCAGTTTTAACAGATTCCAGTGCTACACAAGTGACGCTATAATGATAACATGAAAGCATTAACCCTGACTTTCAATGTGACTAAAGGAATGGGTGTGTTCAGAGACCAGCTAGAGAACCACCATAATGTTAATGGGTCACTTCATAAGGAGTATACTTAAATGGAACCAGATGTGCCATGTTCTAATTAGGACTTGTACAGTATTTTATTCATTATGTTTCCTTGTGGCATTTTATTTCCTTCTTGTATTATAAGTACTATATAATTATTTGCTTGCTTGTATGATTGGATGCTGATAAGAAATAGTTGTTAGACTGACACTCTGTGTATGTGTGTGTGCCTGAATGTGAGCGAGGTAGGTAGTAGAAGTCACTAAGGTATGGTAGGTGGTATGGTAGCTTGGGTTGTCTTCCATTGGGAATGAAGCATTGAAGTTAAGGCCAAGAGTTGAAGTCTGGAGTGCAATACACTGGAGAATGCATAATATGATTCCATATGAACCACCAGCTGAGTTTAGCAACTTGTATTTATCAGATTGAAATAGTGACTGACTTAATGACAACAATAACTTGGACAGAATAACAAAACTATGATTGTTCTAACCACAAGACAGAAACAATAGCACATTGGGAAAAAAATATTTCTTTTTGGTATTGAGCTTGTTATAGTAAGATAAAAAGTTGACCTTCTGACACTGACCTTTCATTGTTATGCTTCATCCTATGTATGATACCTATGTATATGTTTGTTCTATTTATCTTTCCTAACTTGTGTATTTATTGACTGTGTCCATAGCCTCTACCCCCACCCTCTCAACAGGATCATAGTCCCGAATTGCTTAGCTTTCTTCAACACTTCCAAATGTTAAAGTCTTTGTTCTTTTCTTTGGAGCATGTTCATATTATCAAATATTCTTGACAGAAAAAAAAAACAACCTCCAGACATCATGTTTAAACCCAAATCTTGTTTTTTGTGATTCAAATAAACCCAGGAGTGCTTCCATATTCAAACTCTTTTTTACTAACAGCATAATAACCTTTTGTGTGTTTCACTGTAAAATATCATCTGTGTTTTTATACCTAATTTTGAATTAATCCTACTCCCAAAGTGCCCCCCTCTTTTTTTCTACCTATCAGGCCATCTATTTTTCATGTCTCTTTGTCTCTCTCTCCTAACCCGGTTCTACAAAGCACTTTGTTCACATAGGTGAGACTTGTCCATAATTGTTTTATTTATTTCTGCCTGTTCTATATTTCTATGGGCACACAACTTTGTGGCCTTCTTTGATTTCTTCTGCAATAAATATTTAATCAACTCTATTATTATTGAATGTTTATACAATCTCATTATGTTCACATACTTATATACAACTGTTTGCTCCTGGCCTCAAGTGGGGAGATAAAAAGGTGGTACATCTCAAAACAGCACAATTAAACATTTAGGGTGCAAGAGTATAGCGGGCGGGGGGGGGGGGGGGGGGGGGGGGGGGGCGGAAGGGTTTTTTTATACAGTAGGACTGTAGGGTAGCAATCCATTCATAAAACTTGTTGAGTTTACCAGGACAGTCTGATAAACCGCAAGTATGTCAGGAGATGAATATTAAAGAAATAGTTTCTGCTTGAAGGGCCCTAGGGATGGGTGGGTGTTGGGGAGACGGAGCCCTGGTGGTTGGCACTGGAGGAGAGATAGGCTACAGTGGTTGTCTTTGATAAAAAGATAGGAAAGAGGAGCTTCCTGTAAGAAAGTCTATTCATTACATGGGAGACACTACTCTGTACTACACTCTTACAAAAGATACAATTATTTTTTTTTGAGACCATTAAAAAGAAAGAAAGAAAAAGCCCAGACATTCTTTTGCATAAAGGCTGTCATAATATGAGCATTGAAAGCACTAGACAACTTAGAAACATATTTCACTGCTTGCAAATCATTTCTACACTGAGCCTGCATCACATATACCAATTGTTTGTACCTCATTAACCACTGTCACCACTTGATATCTTTGTGTTGCTAATAGTTTTTACCCTTCCTTCTAAACTAGTCATGTTTATTTGCTTATTTTAATTATGTTTTTTTTTATTTCCAATGTTTATGAATTAACAATTTTGATTACTTTGTACTATTCATGAATTTACATTATAAAAAAAAAGTAACAAAAAAAAATTTGACATGAACAATAAACCACTAATGAAACAATTTGAAATGTTGAACTTTTTTTTTTTCCTTACTGCATCAAAAATTGTAAGGGTCTCTGTGATTTTATAGTGGGAATAAGAAAGAAGAGCAATGAAATATTACATTATGTTTAATCCACAAAAGTGAGTCCCTCCTGTTTGTCTCTTATATTTTGGATAAATTTCAAATCTAGAACTTCTTTCTTAGTTTAGAGCCACAAAATCTGGACCTGAAAGGATTGTACGAAAATGAACCCATGGGTTAGACTTTGTCAAGATCATATTTTTCCATGGATAAGGAGGGTGTCATGGTGCCAGAACAACGACAAACTACCTTTGCTTTCTCCACAGCTAATGTCAGGTACTTATTACAGTTGGGTGGATTCAGAGACAACCTAAAAGTTCCAAATTTCATAATCCCAGTCTTAAGGATTCAAACCCAAAACCCCTGGCGTCAGAAGCCAAGCAATTTACCACTCACCTATTATCCAAAAGAGTATGAAGGATTTGGTTAACAAAGAAAACCTTTACCCTACATTTATTGCTTGTAATATTAAGAGTTTGAAGATATCTACATCCTAGACCAAACCTTAAACAAGATAGGTTCAAATCTAGGAACATTGAGACCACTAAACAACAGTCCAGAGTGTATGCCACATGACCAATCAGACATTTTTTTCCCATTACAAATCTATGAAGATAAAATGAACTGATTGGAAAGAGATGTGAAATGCAAATAAAATAAATAAAACTGAAATGACCATGGTTACAGGTGGGTTTCTATTTAATACAATGCTTGTCCAAATACTAATCCAATAAAAAAAACAACAATAAAAATGAAACATACAGGAATAAAAAACAAAACACAAATAAATGAAAAAAAAAAAATAGAACAAATTAAAAACAACAAAGAAGTAACAAAAGAAGTTAGAGTTATATGTAAATAAGTATGACTCTTTTCATTCCAATCATCCGAATAGATTATATATCACACTAACTTACACTTAATTCACATACTGAAACTACAATCTTGATCCCATAAACTATTTTTTACAATGATTTTTACAAATATACATTCATGCATACAGTGTGCATACTATGATGAAATAAAAACATGCTATGGGAAAAACAGTTAATAGCTGTTGCACCTACAATTATAAATCCGTAATATTCCAATCACTGATTGTGAAATCTTCATCATCTAACTTCTTGTTAGTAAAAGCTCAGAGGCTCAAATCCTCTCTACCAAAAGCCTTGGACCAGAGGCATAATCAGCACGTTTGTAATCAGCAAAACGTGCGCCTGGGGCTAGGGACGTTATTGGCGCCCCCTCCTCCCATTTTCCATGATTATCACATAGAAATTTAGGCTGTGTGTGGCGCCACCTGGAGGATGGTGCCCGGGGGCATCGTGCCCCCTTGCCCCTCCCTCACTATGCCTCTGCCCTGGACAAAAGCCTGCAGTTGAGCACACTTCATGTAAGTCAAATTAGAATTAAGCAGTCAAAAAGAAAATGAGTTTGCCTGTAAGAATCAACAGGACAATGGCCCACCCTGCACAGGGCTATATTACCTAGTTCCACCATAGGGAGGCCTCAGAGGCGTAGTGAGCACAATGTTGGCCCGGGGCTTTATTGCCCCATATCCTATCAACATCCCATATAAATATATAGGATTATAAATAAAAAGTATTTAATAATAATATAAAACAAACTGAAATATCTACAACAATTTTTTTTTTGGCACCTTTCTGCATGTGGAACCCCCCTAAGAGTGGCACCTGGGGCATCATGCCCCCTTGCCCCCCTCACTACACATTTGGGAGGCCTACTCAGGAGGCCTCATACACCCAGATTCTGCAAACATTTTCCAATACACAAACTATTTTTAACTTCTGCTGCTAGAATGGCCAGTAGAAATTAGAGAAATTGTTTACCACTGCCATTGGCATATAATGTTGCATATTTAAGCATAAATATGTGCAACTTTTCAGAATATTATTTCTCAAAGTGAGTCCTTCCCATGTTGTGTTCTGTGTTTGTTGTAGTAATTAACAGGGCTTCACATGATTTCACTCTTAATGGATTTTTTTTTTAGCTCTACTTATCTACCCACTTCCATGCACACTGCAAAACCTATTCAATTAATTGCAATTTCTAATATAAGTATTTTTCATGATAAATTTTCCACTGTAATAAAAACCTATATGTTTAAAACTTTTTTGTAGATTTTAAATTCTTTTATTTCTCCTGTTTATGGCACTTACGTTATCATAATATTGCCTTCAGCCTACATCATGAGGGCTAAAAGCACTATATACATTAAATTATTATTATGAAACAGAAACATGAATACACATTTCAAATGAAACAAAAATAGTCTTTATTCTACTTAGGCAGGAAAAAAAACACTTTACCAAGGGAGAAAGAAAGGCTAAGGGAAATAACCACGAAATTAAAAAAAATTACAAAATCTAAACACAGTTCACTAACCTGTCAGATTGCTCATCTGGGTTCTCTGCGAACTTGCCAACACAGACACTGACCACCTGGAGCTCACTGAAACACAAGTGTCTTCTTTCAATTAATCATGCATAAAGAACTCATTTGTTGTTCAGGAAAAAACACTTGACAATTATTTCTTGTTCAATAACAAAGTTAAGTTGTAGAAGTTCATCTTTTTAATCTCAAAATTAAAAGGTACTTGATAATTTTATTTTTTTTTAATAATTCAATATAAGTATCCAGATAATACAAAAAGACTTTGCACATAAGTAAACTATTCTTGGAAACTGTGATCTTTTTCACTAAAACATTTCTCTCCCTAAAAGTGCCAGAGTTATGAAAGCAAATTAAAGATCATAATATTCTTGGTATTTATAATTCTAACTCTGGATGCTTCACATTTTTGGATGGAAATTAAATGTTATTGGTGGACAGGTGATGAAGTATATCAGACAATATAAACATTATATGATTTGCAAAGCACTGTTATTCTCTTGGAACTCAATTTAAACTTTTAGCCAGCCAGTAGACTCCTTGGGTAATGGTGTAGTGTTTGGGTAATTTTAAATTTTGTAGTGTTTGAGTGCTACCGTCTTTGAAATGATTAAGTTGAACACACAGAAGAACCAAAAACTACAAGATCGCTGTTTTATTCCAAAACTTTTTGTTAGATAAAATAAATATCACAATTTTTTTTAGCAATTCAGAGTAGTAAAATAAAATAATTTTTTTTCATTTGTTTTTCATGTTTTGGATGCTACTTTAAGAGTTGAAACTTCCTGCTGGACAACAGGGGATGGCAGTGGGCTTTCAAGGCAGCCAACAAACAATCCAGTGCACATACCGCATGACAAGGGAGCCACTGTTTTAACATCTTACAAAAGAAAGTATGTGGATTCAATCTTGTTTTTTTTTAATTAATGATGTCAGGTAGCAGGAGTAGATGAACAAAAAAAACCTTCAATCATTTCATTCTAGCAATCAGACTATTACAGATCATGGTTGAGACTCCCTTGAATAAACTCTATCATATTAATTAAGCCTTTTCAGAAACTTTCAAAATAGCTAGTTGGCAACTGAGAGACAAACTAAAATATATTTCTCCATGGTTATTTATCAATGACAATTTCTTCTTTTTTGTGAATTGATAAATTGGTATATAATGAAAAAGAAAATGCAGATATATACTCGATTATATAGTTTCCTACCTGGGCTGTGGCAAAGAATATCTCAGAAGGTAGATCTTATCACATGGAAACTGTTGCTTTGCATAGGCAACCCACATCATACCCTTCTCTTCATCAGTTAGCCTGAGAGAAAAACAAGCTTGAAATATACTTGTAAAAAGATAACCTGAATAAAGCTTAAAGAACGTAAATATTTACATTGAATTATAGACTTAAAGAAAGACAAAAAGTAAAATAATTGTTATACTTACTGACACACTTTAGATGGTGGAGATTCTGGCTCAGAAGTTCTGATAGAAGAAAAAATAAATTATGTCAGGGAAAAAATCTAATCAGTATAAGACTAGTCCAGTGTTTTATCTTTTTATAAATTCCATTTAGTTGACCTAATTGTAATACATATAAAACCTCAGAGACACTAATTCTAATTGTCAATTATGATTACATCAAAGCAAATTGGTCTGACATAACAGATAAAACCTACTTTGTAACAAACAGTTGATAAGTCATGTGCAGTTTCATAGAGTCTCCAATGGCATGCTGGGAAAAGGAAAGCACAGTGATAACAAAGTCATAGGGCTATATTAATTGATATTTAATAAATTTCAAATCTATTTTTACTATCTATCTTTGAAATGTTTTTTTTTAATTTGCTATTTTAAAATGTGTCTCTGGATGGGGATAGAGGAGTGAAAAAAAGAGAATGATAAAAGAAACACTAATACGACAAGATTTCATTTCATAACATTCTTTTTTTTTTCTATTAAGCACAAAAAAAAAAATAGGTCACTTGTAACTTTGAAACGAAAAGACCATGCAAATAATGAAATAGAAATAAAAGAATTGAGGATTCAAATGCTCTACTTACTGCTGGTTCCAATATTGCATGAGCTATTGTCTGGTCCAACAGAGCTTTCCCCTGAACTATAGACTTCCCATGCATGAGAGGATATAAAATCTTACTATCTGGAAAATGATTTCATTAAATGACAACATAACTTTATAGTAGTCACAGTAAAAACTCCTATAGACTTATCATGGGATAATTTACAAACTTCTACAAAATTATAATTAAATGTTAGCCTAAGTCTCTAAGTCTGCATTTAGCAAACGCTGGACATTCACTTCATTGTTTGATATAAGTGAGTAACAATGCAACCATCATTAACTTCATCATCAAACTCCATTTGAGTGAGGGCTGGAGAGACTCCAAATTTTGGTTTGGGAAGAAACCCTGCAGTTGTCGGTAGAGCGTGTATATTTCCATATCAAGAGCAAGTGATTCCCTGTCCTATTGTATCAGAGGTAGACTTAGGGGCTGACGAGTTTGGGGACTAGA